GTGATAGCCATTTGCCACATGTGACTATTAAGCACCTAAAATGTGTCTAGTCCTGATTTTGAAGACTCAATATTTTGAAAAATGTAAACTAACTCATTAATAATTTCTACATGGATTAGTGTTAATATGATAATATATTTAACACATTGGGTTAAATAAAATATGCTTTTTAAATGTGGTTATTAGATTTAAAATTACATGTTTTACCTCCATTATATTTCTACTGAACAACACTGTTATAGAGCAAACACTGTTATAGTTTACAAAATGATTCTAAACCAATCTTTGCCATTATGTTCTGCTGCTATGACCTTAGACAAAATGGTTGCACTGATTATCAGCTTCTGTATCATAAAAATCAGATTTAAAAACAGTTCCCAAATCTACTACTTAGATTTTGGTATCTAAGTCTATTTTCCACTGAAAAGAACAGAGGTAACACTGGAAAAGGAGCTCTTGCCACAGCTTGGACAGGTAAAATACAAGATTAACCCGGAATATCGTGTCTTGGCAGAAATACACTGGAACCAGCTTGATGAGAAACCCACTGGCCAAACCTGGGACAATTTGTGAATCAAAATAATGATAACGATGGATTTAACCACTGAATAAAATTAAGAATCCATGAGTTCATGCAGATAAAAAGAACTGAATAAATAAGAGATGGGAAAGATCACCTTATGTCAGAATGTCAACTAATAATTACAGAAGGAATGAAGTCAGATAATCATCAATTGATGCTAAAACTTGTGGGTGAAGTTTTGATTATAGAATTTAAATATACTGTTCCCCAAATTATTTTTCCACAAGTTGCATGTAAGTTACGAAGGGATAAATAATAACTTTCAGGGATGCATAAGAGGAATGCCAGCTTAACAAAATTTTCACAGCTAACATCACAAACACTGGTACAAACCAACATCATGAATCTCAAGATATGATGTACTAAAAAGGGCAGAACATCTCTTGAATTCCTGCCAAAACGCATAACCAATCTAACCACGAGAAAGCAATAGACAAATTCAAATTGAGGGACTTTCTACAAAACAGCTGCCCTGTACTTAAAAAAAAAAAAGTCAAGGTCAAGAAATAGTAAGGTTGACGAAGTGTTCCCGATTAAAAGATACTAAGGAGACATAATTACCAAATGTAATGGATAATCCTGGAGTGGATCCCAGAATAAGATGGAAAAGAAACCAACAGAGAAAATAGATAAACAGATATAATTTAAATATGGACTATAAATTAGATAACATATCAGCATTAAATCTTCTGGTTTTAATAACCTTGTTTTTAAAAAATATACACTGAAGAATTTAGGGATAAAGAGGTATGATGTCTCTGAATTACTCTCAAATAGTTCTGAAAAAATATACAGAGATAGGTATATAAAGCAAGAATGATAAACACAGCAAAATGTAAAACAACAAATGTGGGAACATAGGAGTTGTATTATTCCAACTTTTCTTTAAGATTGAAATTACATCAAAATATAAAATTTTAAAATTTGGCCAGTCTCCCAGATCAGATATCCTAATGGACTATACAAGTCCTGATGATGTTAAAAATGTACAGGTGTTTTTCTTTTATTCTAGACCTGTTTTAAATTTTATGACTTATCAAATGCTAACTATATTATACATTTCATAAAATCCAGGCCTGTATCTGTTATTTCTCAATATCATAGTACTAGGATACGATTTACCATACCCAATAAGCACTCAAACATTTGTTACATGGGCTACTGAAAACTATAACAGTTTAGAATAATTATAGAAAAACAGTCAAATTATAAAAGGTACCACACTGTAAATAGAGACATTAATTGCGACAAAAGGTTGTAGGACAACTCTTCAATTAAAAGAAAAATATCGGGAATGAATAGAACAGTAGTTAAAAATCTAACATAAAAGAAACGAATACCACAATTAGAGGATGGTAAACATCTCATTCCATATTAGGAGTTAAACGTGTATCTTTGTGGCTAACTACAAGGAGTCACGACAATTAAAATAACTTTCTTCCCTATAAAAGTAGAATATTATATGAGTTATAAAATGAATCAGATTAAAGAGTTACGTCAAAACTGAGATTCGAAATCTCATTAGGGGCTCAATCCTAATTTGCTGTACAACCCTGAGATGCTGCCTACAATTCCGTATCTCACTTAAAATTGAGATGTTTGGATCATTTCCTTCCCCAAAGGCAAGAAGAATATTATTTTATAAAAATGATTGTAAGCAACGAGAGCACTGAATATTCAATATATATACTGAATATACACATATACGTGTATGCATATATATTCACACATGCAAAAAGGGAAATGAAAATGGCTTTTTCGTAAAAGTATTTATAAAGTAATGAATGTAAGGCACATTAACAGCAAAACGTAATGATCCGAATTCTAGTTTATCCCCATTCACACCATATAAATAAGTGCTTAACACCTAGGATGCTAAAAAAGCCCAATCAACAAGTGTATACTCCATGTAAAAGGAATGTTAATTTTAAAATAACAATGGGGTTCGAGACCAGCCTGGCCAATGTGACAAAACCCAGTCTCTAATAAAAATACAAAAATTAGCTGGGCATGGTGGCAGGGGCCGGTAATCTCAGCTACTCAGAAGGCTGAGGCAGGGGAATCGCTTGAACCAGGAGGCGGAGGTTGTCGTGAGCCGAGATCGCGCCACTGCACTCCAGTCTGGGCGACAGAGTTAGACTCCGTCTCAATAAATAAATAAATAACAATAACAAAATATGAGACAGATTTTAATATGGCTTTATTAGGATGGGGACCGTGAGAAAGAATTCTCAAATACAGTTAGAAGCCAGGGACAAAATTTCTTTTTCACATACAATACAATGTATTCACATATTGCATTAAAACCGTAATACAGGGATTATATTAGACATATGGTATTAACTTTCAATGTCTTCCAATTTTACTTGAATATACAAGTAAGGTAAAAAGATATTCTGGTTCCCTTTTCCATCAAATCCAATTAACTATGTTTCATTTAAAGTTTGACTGTTTTTCAAAAGTATATATATATTTTATGATGCAAATCTATACTTAAGGTATCTAAATAAGCAAGAAGATCAGAACAAAAAATCCAAAATATTCCAAAACATAAGACATCCTCAAATCACTTTGTGCCTTGGCAAAACTTAAGAGTAATATCATAAGCTAGTGTTGCAATGCTGTCATCCCACCTAATTCTACCTAAATGAACTCAGTAATTTCTAATTGATTTCCAGAGATCTTTACATAAGCAATTATCAAAAACAGTCCACTGTATTCAAGAAGCACAAATAACATTTACTTTTTAAAACAATTTATGTAAGTACCTAGTTTTTTTTTTTTTACACTTCACGAACTAAAATCACTTATGAGTACTTGACTAAAGCTATTCCTCATCACCTTTCCTTAGAGAAGACCAAAATACAATTTTCATAAGGGCAAAACAAAAGCAGTAAATTACTTAAACATCACTTAAATGCCTCCAAAGCAACCTTCCTTTCTCGTACATTTTCCTATATTCAACGCATTCTGCGGTACATATTTCTGAATTGAAACTGTGTTAGTTTAACCTAATACAATCTCCTTTCCACTAGTGAAAAAAAGATCTTAAGGCGTTAACCAAACACTTGGGAGGCGGGGTCGGGGATGCAAGGTGGTGCCAGAGCAGATGGAAACAAGGTAAGAGAGTTGTTTTCTCAAGATACTAGGGTCACTCCCCAACTCCAAATGCCAAGATTCACTCCTCAGTAGAGCAAGCTGCTGCCACTATCCACTGCTTACACAATACAACCTTGCTTTCTAACCTCTTCCCCTACACTCCCACCCATAACCTCCTTCCAACGCTCCTCATTCCACCACCCGTGTTCGCCCCGCTAAGCCCACTAAACCAACCTGCTGGATGAACAGCTCCATGCTTTCGTCTCACTCAGGCAAGAAAAAAAAAGCGACTGCAGCAAGGTCGGGAGTCCCACTATTCCTGTCACCCTAAACAATCCACAGGGTGAGAGCCCCAAGCCCAGAAGTTTGAAGCAAAGCGATTGAGACCCAACCAAAAAGAGGGAATTGCAGTTGAGTGGTGATGGGAGGTGGGGAGGGCGATGCGTATGCGAGGGCGTGTGTGTGTGTGTGTGCGTGTGTGTGTGCAAGGAAGAGTCCATCACATGACAGTGAAAGAGGACCAGAGTCGTCGGGGCGTCCGCAAGCAGAACGGGGGGGAGGGTGTCGTCGCCGTGGCAACACCCCCCATCCGTCCAGACTTCCAAAGAGAGAGGAAGAACTTCAAATCCCAACCGTCAGCGCTCGAGCGGCTCCTTCTTAAAGGGGTACACACAGCGCCGCCGCCGAGCGCGAGAGGGCAGAGTTGGGCGCCCCCCGCCGCTCGGGCGACGCCCCCGCCGCCCCTCGCCCCCCGCCGGCCCATCTGCGGCCCCAGCCCTGCGAGCACCCGAGGGTCTCCAGGTCCGGGTCCCCGGGAACTGGCCGCGTCTGCTCACCCGGCCCCCGGCGGCGAGAAGGGGGTGTGTGTGCACTCGGCGGGGGCGCGGACCAGCCCGCCTTCCTCCGGCCGCCCTGCCCGCCGGCTCCCCTACGCCAGGGCGCCGACCCACCGGGCCGCTTCCTCTCTCCTGTCAGGGTAGACAGCAGGAGACGGTGGGCAGCGACGGGCGCCGAGGAGTTTCGGGGAGAGCGCGAGCGGGCGGCTTTCTCCGGAGCTCAGCAAGCGGGTCCGAACTAACAGTTCCTGGGGAGCCCAAGAGCTGGGAAGGCGAAGGAAGGCGGACTGCGCCGGGCCAACAGCCCGCAAGACAAAAGGCGAGCGCCGGGGCCGCCGCGCCGCGCCGCGCCGCTCCCATCTCGCTCCCACACCGAACTAACCCGAACGGGAGATTCAACTAAACCCCTCAGCCACAAACTCCTCGGGCTGCCGCAGCTGTCGCCGCGCGGAGCTCGGGGCCCCGGCCCGCGTCTCTCTTACCTACACAGTGCATGAGGCGGTGGCGCCAAGAGTCGAGTTCCCGCCGGAATCCTCTCCTCTCCGCCGCGCACCGAGGGCTCCGGCACTGAGCGGCGGCGGCAGCGGCGGCAGCGGCGGCAGCAGCGGCCATTCTCTCTCTTCCCTTGTCCATCTGCGTCCCGCGTCACGCGCCCTCATTTACATACGAGCAGCGCAGGCACGAGGCAGGGGCGCGAGCCCTCGGCGCGAGCCCCGGAGCGCGCGCCCCCCGGAGGGGGGTTGATTGACACGTGTCACTACCTTCCCTCTGCCCTTCCCTCCCCCTCCCACCACTCCCTCAGGGAGAGGCGGGGAGGGAGCCAGAGGAGAAGGAAGCAACCTGCCGCTTCCGCTGACCCCGCCTCCCCACTCACTACCCTCCTCCCCCTCCCGCTGGAGTTTACTAAGGCGAGCCATACCGCTCCCGCCACCCGCGTAAACCCTGAGCGGGAGCGAGAGACCCGGAGCCCCGCCAAGAACCGGCGTGCTAGTGGAGCGGACCAGCAACGCCTACCTTCTGCCTTCACTACGGGACTCCGACAGTTCGGAGACTTCACTTCCCAGGCTCCATTGCGCTAGGATCCCGAAGCTGAGCTTGGGGCCTTGGCGCGGTGCCTGCCGGTTATTGTAGTCCAGAAGAAAGGAGGGCATCCCCGCACACTTAGGTTTGCAAGCTGGCCTGGAACTTCTCTGCGCCGCGCCACTTTGTGACTGAGCCTGTCTCTCCTTGCGCCCGAGACTGTGCGCCACCTTTCTTAGCTTTCTTAGGCTCCTTGATGGAAGGATAGTGAAAGCCACCTAAGTTGTTGGCCCCTTGCGGGTTGAGGCTGCGCTTTGTGTTTTAAGTGCTGGAAACTTTCCCGGGTCGCTGTCATCCTGTCACTCAGCAGGGAAAGGGCAAGCCGGTCATTCGGCTACATATGGAATAACTGCCAAACGTCCAGAGACAGAGATCCCGGAGTGACTTCGGTTTCCAAGGCTAAGAGATCTCTGAAAGCGAGAATATTCTCAAGGACAAGGAAAAAGAAGCGATTTTTTTTTTTTTTTTTTCACGGAAAATTACGTGCAGGGGACTGACTGGGTGTAGCCGGCTGAAAACTGCAGAAGGAAAATTTTCTATGTAAGCTCCTGGACGGCAGTGACCTACTGAGACCTCTGTACCGTGATATCTGTCACTTATCAGACCTTAGTACAGTGCGTGACACGGAATTAAGCACTTTACAAATATTATGGAATAAATTCTATGCCATGCTAGAGAAAATAACTTCTCCAGAGAGAAAGAGGAATCTTACGATTAAATACGAGACTCCAAACAATTTTTACTTTTTGCACCAGAGAGTGTCCGTTTGTTTCCGTATACTTGAAGTTTATGAAACCAAAGCGAAGCCACCCAACGTTTGCTAAGAAGTACTGTGTATTACTGGAAATGTATTTACATGCCTGTGGGAAATATGTTTAATTCTTCTTGGAAACTCACAAATTCCGAGTTCAGTACCACCTTCCCTGTTTTGTGGCTTATCCTTATCCACCTTATTTTTCTTTTCATGAGAAATTATTGCATTGCTCATTATGACTTCAGTAGCGAAGATGTAATTTTTATATCTTCCTAAATTAAAAATGATAAAGTTTGAACTCATAATCATCTTTTCTAGAACGGTCACAATTGGAGTGCAGGTGAAATCACTAGCGAAGGTGATTTTGGAATTGTCAGTGGATGGTTTCAGTTAACCACTTCCACTCATAATTGCCAAGATGATCAGCCTTTGTAGTTTTCCTGATCACTTTTATAGTAATCTACTTTAGTAACAATGGGAAAAATTATGGTGCCGTAGTAAAGGATCCAAGAATCTTAGTGGCTTAAAACAACAACAAAAAAACTGTTTCCTGCTTATCTATATGTTCATCTCTGGGTGGCAGGAGTGCACATCTTACCTGAGATTGCTAATGCTGGAAGCTGCACAATCTAGAATGGCCTCACTCTGGTGTGCAGTTTGGCTCCCAGTTTGCTGGGGTAATGAGAATGACGGAGTCATGTGTCTCTTGCCATCTAGAGGCTAGCTAGAGCCAATAATTTACACAACGGCAGCATGCGAAGCACAACGTACTGGTAAGTATTAATGTAGAAGTGCTTTTCCTTTGGGAGGCAGAGGTGGGTGGATCATCTGAGGTCAGGAGTTCGAAACAAGCCTGGCCACTGTGGTGAACCCCGACCCCTCTTCCAGTCTCAATCTCTAGTCTCTCTCTCTCTCTCTCTCTCTCACACACACACACACACACACACACACACAAACACAAACACACACAGTGATGAAACAGGTACTAAATAGACATGATGTCTTAGTCTACTTTGTGCTGCTGTAATGGAATACCACTGACTGGGTAATTTATATCAAGAACAGACCTTTATTGCTCACAGTTCTGGGGACTGGAAAGTCCAAGATCAAGGTTCTGGCATCTAACAAGAGCCCTACAGTGAAAAGGCAAAGAGACAGCAAATGAGTAAAAGGAGGCCAAACTCATCCTTTTATAATGAACCCACTCCTGCTATAAAGAATCCACTCCCTTGATAACGACATTAATCCATTGACTATGCCCTCATTGCCTATCATTTCTCATTAGGCCACATCTCCCAACACTGTTTTGTTTCCAACATGTGCTTTTTTGTGGACAAATTCAAACCACAGCATATGGTAAACATTCCTGTATAGAAAGGAAAATAAGAGACACACATGAACTGTTTCAGCAGTTAGCATCTTTAACTTTCCAGCGTCTGACAATCTCCTTGCGACCACCCACCGAGCTAAGTTAAAGCTACATGTTTTAGATTTTCTGTTATAACTGTACCTCCTTCTGGGTGCCAATGTATACATTAGTTAGAATGTGCTATGTTCTGCTCCAGTAACAAGCCTAAAATCCAGTAAACTCAAAACCTCAATACAAAGGTTAACACAAAAGTTTATTTCATAGTATACTATCTGTCTTCCAAAGGTCAGTGTGGAAAAGGGTGGAAGGAACATGAGCCCCATAAACCTCATGTCCATCCAGGGACTGAGGCTTATGGGGCTATGCCATTCAGAAAGTCCCTAGTCACCATGACAAGAAAGATGATGCTAAATCACAGTCCAATTCTTAAAGGCTTCTGCCAGAAGTGACACATTTTGGTAGATGAAGCAAATTCTATGGCCATGACTGACTTCTAAGGAGTTATATATTAGATAGCTTTGAAAGCAGGACAAATGACCCTACAGTTTAATACCTTAAAACACCAACTGTTCATTTAGCTCATAAATCTGTGGAATGAAAATTTGTACTAGATTTAGCTGGACATTTCTGTGGGCCTTGACTGGACTCACTCAGGTGTTTGTGGTCAGCTGCCTGTCAGCAACGCAGCTCTGTTTCTAAGGATTCACTCACTGCCAGCTGGGAACACAAAGCAAGGAGACCAAGTATCAAGAGGCCAGCCCTAGCCTTAGCTTGTTCACCTGGTGGCAGTCACAGGGGTCCAAAGTGCTGCAAGAAAACAAGGCCCGATACACAAGCACTTTTCAAATCTTGGTTTGAGTCACATTCACTCTGGTTTCAATGGCTAAAGCAAGTCACATGGCTAAGCCTAGGGTCAATATAGATTCTACCTTTTGGATCTGCAAGTCACATTGCAAAGGGATTTGGACAAAGGGAAATAAATAATTTGTGGCCACTTTTGTAGTCTACCACTTTAAATGCAAGGTTGCCATATTCTCCAAAAGAAGGAGAATTAGAGATATAACCAGATCTAATGAATATCACATATCTAGAATTTTTGGGAGAAGAGAAATATTAAGGCCAGAAATATTGAAATACACAAATGGAGTTAGCTTTGGAATTTAGCTTCACTTTGAAGAGCAAAGAAGTTTCCATGGCAAGTACTACAGAATATATTATGATTACCAAATGAACATAAAAGTAGGAGTCTAACTGATTAACCATTGCATTCCAAGCATCAAGTGCTGTGCCAGGCATTCAGGTAGTGTCTAATATTTATTTATTGGTTGGATGCATGTTTGAGTTATCTATAAGGTCCAGCATAAAAAGAGTGTCATATCAGCCGGGTGTGGTGGCTCACACCTGTAATCCCAGCACTCTGGGAGGCTGAGCTGGGTGGATCACCTGAGGTCAGGTGTTCGAGACCAGCCTGGCCAACATGGTGAAACCTTGTCTCTACTAAAAATAAAAAATTATCCAGGTGGGTGGCACACGCCTGTAATCCCAGCTACTGAGGAGGCTGAGGCGAGAGAATCGCTTGAACCCAAGAGACTGAGGTTGCAGTGAGTTGAGATCATGCCGTTGCACTTCAGCCTAGGCAGCAAGAGCAAAACTCCATCTCAAAAAAAAAAAAGGAGGTCTTATCAAAGATTGCCCACCTACACTGAAAATTTAGTTACTCACAAAGGTTTTTCACATAACAACAGATATATGATATGAAATGTTAATCTTCTTTGGGAAAATGTTTTTGTTCCGCTATCTACTTCCTGTATACATTTTATCAGTTATTTATTGATATGTAGCAAGCCAATCCACAATGTAGTTGCACAAAGAACAACCACTAGATATTATTCTCAAGTATGCAGTCAGGTGGGCTCTTCTGCTCATCTGGTGAAGCTCTGTACGTCTTACCTGAAATTGCTAGTGCTGGAAGCTGCATGATCTAGAACGGCCTCACTCTGGTGTGCAGTTCGTCTCCCAGTTTGCTGGGGTAATGAGAATGACTAAGTCATGTGTCTCTTACCATCTAGAGGCTAGCTAGAGCCAATAATTTACATAGTGGCAACATGTGAAGCATGTAGAAGTGCTTTTCCTTTGGGAGGCTGAGGTGGGTGGATCACCTGAGGTCAGGAGTTCAAAACCAGCCTGGCAAACATGGCGAAACCCCATCTCTACTAAAAAACAAAGTACAAAAATTAGCCAGGCATGGTGGTGGGTGTCTGTAATTCCAGCTACTGGGGAGGCTGAGGCAGACAAATCGCTTGAACCTGGGAGGCAGAGGTTATAGTGAGCCGAGATCGTGCCATTGCACTCCAGCCTAGGTGACAGAGCAAGGCTGGGTCTCAAAAAAAAAAAGTTCTTGTCAAGTCAGCTTACATCATGTTCTGCTTGCTACTATCCTAGTGGCCAAAGCAAATCTCATGGTTAAGCCCAAAGTCTGAATGTAAGAACATTAACAAATGGCATGGATTTAGAACGGTGGAGTTATCACTTTCATTGAACTACTGTAAATAACTACCCAAGTTCACTATTATCCCCCTAAAACTGATAACCACATCTACAGAGTTCTTAGACAGTACCAAGACATGTAACTTGCAGGGCCAAGTAATA